AGCCCGGCACCTAGCCGCCCTGGACACCGCCTCCGCGACGGGGAGGCACATGGGGGAGCCGAGCAGCTTCAGGCCCTTGAACAGGGGGGGGCTGGCCCAGCCACGCGGGCCCGGGAAAAGCACCGTGGTCAGCTTCTGTTCGAACTGGGCCCATTTCTCCGGGAGGAGCTCGAGCTGCATGATGAAGGTACCGATGGAGAATATGTACATCTTGTAAGCCTGAATCGACATCAACTGGCCGCCGCCCACCCCTCTCCAAACCTTCGCGCGCATCAGCATCTTCTCGAGCGGCTTGTCCCAGGAGTGCTCATCCTTGCCATGACCCAGAGTGAACCCCAAGTACTGCGCGCGGTCCGCTATCGAGAAGTCCGACCAGAGCGGAGCGGCGGACGCGATCGCGGCGCGGCAGTCGTCGAACGGCCTGCCGTCCAGCGGCACCCACGTGGACTTGGCGTGGTGGAGTCGGAGCCCCGAGATGGCCGCGTAGTCCTCGAACACCCCCTGCAGCACCCGCAGCCGCGTGACCCCGCCCCTGAGCACCACGGCGTGTGTGCGTGTGTGAGTGTGTGTGTGTGGTGTGTGTGTGTGTCCTGCGTGCGGGCCTTCCTCGACCACTCTGCCTGACCCCGCCGCATCGCTGTGCGCGGGTGGCCGCGACGACGCCAAACAAGTGTGTGTGTGTGTGCTTGTGTGTGTGTGTGTGTGTCTGTGCTTCTGTCTATGTCTGTGTCTGTGTCTGCGCGTGTGTGTGTGTGTGTGTCTATGTCTGCGTCTGCGTCTGTGTGTGTGTGTCTGTGTCTGCGTCTGTGTGTGTGTGTGCGCGCGCGTGTGCGTGCGTGCGTGCGTGCCTGCGCGCGTGCGTGCGTGCCCGCGTGCGCGCGTGCGGGGAAGGTGTGTACGTGTGCATGCGTGCATGCGCAATGAGGGTGCCCTTGCTCCAGCCGGCGGGCGGCCCGGCGGCAGAGCCGACAGGGGGAGGAGGAACCACCGCAGCAGGAGGGAGCGGCGATCCCCAGAACCCCTCCCCCTCCCCCTGTGGCTGCGTCTCCTCCCATTTCTTCGGCAAGCCCGTGGGAGCAAGGCTTGTTGAAGCGTCATTCGTCTCATCCTCCTCCTCCTCCTCCTCCTCCTCCTCCTCATTCGCCTCCTCCCTCCCTCCCTCCCTTCCTCCCTCCTCTCCAAGAGGCGCCCTGACAGCCCCAATAGGCGCCCAAGAGGCCTGCAAGAGGCTCCCAAGAGGCCTCATGAGGATCTCCGAGGTACACACAACGCTCATAGAAACCCCTGGGCTCGCCAAGATGCTTCTTCTCCTCCTTCTCCTCCTGCTCCTCCTCCTGCTCCTCCTCCTCCTCCTCCTCCTCCCTGTCCACTGTCTCTTCCTCCTTCCTTCTCATCACCGTCCTCCTCCTTCTCCTCCTCCTCCTCCTTCTCCTCCACCATCATCCCCCTCTTGGGCTATCGGACGGCTTTCCCCGCCCTTTGGTTCTTCTGCATGCTCCTCAAAATCCCTGATCACCTCAACTCCCCTGGGCATCGTTCCTGGATGAGCTGGTGGGGATACGGGGGAGGAGGGAGGAGGCAGGAGGAAGGAGGAGGAGGGAGGATGCAGGAGGCGGAAGGAGGAGGAGGAGGGAGGAGGCAGGAGGAGGGAGGAGGAGGAGCGAGGAGGAGGGAGGAGGAGGGATGAGGCAGGAGGAGGGAGGAGGAGGAGCGAAGAGGAGGGAGGAGGAGGGAGGAGGAGGAGGAGCCGCCAGCACGACCACCAGCGCTACCACCGCCGCGCGGCGACGACCGCCCCTGCCCCAGCCACGGCCCCCGCTCCCGCCCCCGCGACGTCGACGTCCCTACGACTTCTGTGACCACCCCACGGCCCCCGCTCCCCAACGCCTCTTCCTCTTCTCCTGCTCCCTGCGCCTGGCCGCCCCTGCTGCAGCGCCCTTCTCTTCCTTCTCCTCCTCCTCCTCCTCCTCGTCCTCCTCCTCCTCCTCCTCCTCCTCCTCCTCCTCTTCCTCCTACCCGGCGCCGATAAATTCAGGCGGCTCGCGGGCCGACGGCCCTGCGGGCGGTCAATGCCTTTCCGGCTGCCCTGGGTGTCCCCTGCGGGGGTGCCGGTCCTTCCTGGAGGGAGGGAGCCCCCAGGGCCGCGGCGAGGAGGAGGAGGGAGGAGGGAGGAGGAGGAGGAGGAGGCAGAATGAAGCGTCAACGCTCTTAAGAGACTGCCCGCAACCCTCCACCCCACACTCCCTCCGACGACGACGGCGGGACCGCCACGGGGCCGCCGAGAGGATCCGGCCGCCGAAGCCAGCGGGGGCCGCCGAGCGGCCGCCGATGACCCGGCGACGGCGACCAGCGGAGGCAGGGGAGGGAGGGAGGGAGGAGGGAGGGAGAGGAGGAAAGGAGGGAGGGAGGGAGAGGCGGGAGGCATGGAGGGAGGGAGGGAGAGGGGGCAGGGAGGGAGGAGGGATGAGGCGGTCAGACGCCCCCGCGGGGGGGGGTCCAGGATGAGAGGAGAAAAAAGGGGATGGGGTGCACGTCGAGGAGAGGAGGAGGAGGAGGAGAAGGAGGAGGAGGAGGAGGAGGAGGAGGAGGAGGAGAGGGAGCAGAGAGCAGAGAGCAGGAGGAGGGAGGAGGAGAGGGCAGAGCAGGAGGAGGAGGAGGATCGAGGAGGAGGATCAAGGGGGGATCGAGGAGGACGAGGAGGATAAGGATGAGGATGAGGATGAGGATGAGGATGAGGATGAGGATGATGAGGATGATGATGATGATGATGATGATGATGATGATGATGATGATGATGATGATGATGATGATGATGATGCTGATGATGATGATGAGGAGGACGAGGAGGAGGATGAGGAGGAGGAAGAGGAGGAGGAGGAAGAGGAGGGAGGACGAGGGAGGAGGAGGGAGGTGATAAGATGAGATGAGCAAGCGGCCCGAAGCCAGTGAGCTTCTCGATGGCGCATCGGCGGCCCACCGAGGCGGCGACGAGGAGCCCGAGGATACCCCGAAAGGTAGGCCGCCCAGGCCATGGCCCCCGAGGAGGGAGGCCATGGTCAGGCAGCTCGCCCACCCGCGGGGACCCAGACCCCGGCGGCCGCCAGCGGCCGCCCCGCAGACGCCCCGAACGGCCAGGCACCCCACGGCCCATACCAGGCCCCAGCTTCTCGAGCCACGCCCCGCGCCTCGGCGGCCGCGCTCTCATGCCGTCCGCCGGGCTCCCGCCCCTCGACGAAGCCCAGCCCGTGGTTCGGGGCTCCCACGGGCACGGGGCGCAGCCCCCACAGGTCGCGGAGCGAAACTCTACGGCGAAGCTGGAGAGGGCCTCAGACAGTCGAACACTGCATATCTCTGACCACCGCAGCCTCGAGCCTTCGAAAACAGAACCAACCCTGTAGAGCATGCCAAATTGGGAAGACTCCAGACAGCAAAACAGACTGCTCGTCCGTAGCTCCCGCGAGACAAGATGGACATACCCAGGACGGCCCTGGTGCACGCGGTCATGAACAGCACGGAGAGCAGGGCGGAGAACGACCTGAAGTGCGCACGAAACCTCAACCATCGGCGCCGTGAAACGCATTGATGTGGCGGCCGAAGAACAGGAGCGCCTGCTCTGCCTCCCCTGTCTTGGCCTTCTGCTCTGCGAACTGCTGCTTCTGCTGCTCTATGTCGCCCCGTGCTGCCGCCAGCTCCGTGTGGAGCTCTGCCACGCTGGCACCGAGCCTTGCAGATGCCCCCCGCTCGGCCGCGAGCTCGGCCCTCCGCGGTGGCAGCCGCCTCATCCCGCCGATGCGCAGCATCGGATGCGGCCTCGAGCTGCGCCCTGAGTTCCGCGACCGACGCCTCAGCTTCATCTGCTCCAGCTCCGTCGACGCAGCGGCGAGGGCATCTCGCTCGGCCGCCGGGCCGGTGGCGACCCCAGCGAGCTTGGCCTCGACGCCCTCCATGCACTGCACGCGCTTGTCCTCCTTGGTCCTCCTCGGTGTGCTGACTGATACCCAGCTTGGGCTCACGAGCGGCCGCCGAGTACGAGTCCGACGTCGCGCCCTGCGCGCCCTCCAGCGCTTCGCCTCCGGGCCGTGCCAGGACACGGCGCACCTCAGCCTGCACTCCAGGGTCCGGTGCGCTCTGCGCCCCGCCCTCACCTCGGACCACCGTCTTGCGACCTCGCCAGCGCCGCGCTTCGCGAGGCCCTTTCCTGACCTCCTCGCCGGTGGCCTTGCGGCCAAGGCCCAGCAACGCCCCTGCCCCGAAGAGGGTGCCCTCGAAGCCCTCGAGGATGCAGGGGGGGCCGTGGGCTGCCGAGCCAACTGCACCCGCAAGGGCACGCATGAGCTTCGCCGCCTCGTCCACGTCCGCCACGTACGCGATGCTCGCCCCACGCCGGACGGCGATGCCGCGGCCACCTCGGGCCCGCCCCATCGCTGGAATCTGCGCGCGCCCCGAGGGCCGAGCGGTGCCGTATGAAGACGAGTGCAGTAAGCAGAGCGAACTGAGACAAAACCTGAGCCCAAATGGCTACGGAGGGAGGGAGGAGGGAGGGAGGAGGGAGGACGAGGATGAGGGAGGGGGAGGGAGGAGGAGGGAGGAGGGAGGAGGGAGGAGGATAAGGGAGGAGTTTGTGTTGGTCGTTTTGCTGTAGGCGACTGCCTCACCGAGCTCCTGTGGGGATAGAGGGCAGGCGGGAAAGGGCGGGCACGCGAGGCCCTACTTGAGGACGAGGGAGGACGAGGATGAGGGAGGGTGGCGAGAGGGGAGGAGGATGAGGGAGGAGGAAGGATGAGGGGGGAGGGGGGAAGAGGGAGAAGGATATTGAGGCTGAGGATGAGCATGAGGAGGACGAGGAGGAGGGAGGGAGGGAGGGAGGGAGGGAGGAAGGAGGAGGAGGGAGGAGGAGGAGGAGGAGGAGGAGGAGGAGGAGGAGGAGGGAGGTGAGGAGGGACGAGGAGGGGAGGTGGAGGAGGGAGGAGGAGGCCACTCCCACTCAACCCCTCGCGCGCCTCGTCCTCGCCGCGGGCGCCCCCGCGCAGGCACACGGAGTGGGCCGGCTCCGCCCGCTGGAGCTCCTGCTGCGGGTTGTCGGGGAGGGGGGGGCGGAGGGGCCGAGGGAGGGGGCGGCGCAGGATTTGGAGGTGGAGGTGAGTGGGGAGGAGTAGCTCTCGCTCCTTCCTCCTCCTCCTCCTCCTCCTCCTCCTCCTCCTCCTCCTCCTCCTCGTCCTCCTCCTCCTCCTCCTCGCTCCTTCCACCCCCCTCGTGGTCCTCCTCCTCCTCCTCCTCCTCCTCCTCCTCCTCGTCCTCCAGCTCGCCTGCCTCCGACTCCCCTGTCCGCAGGGACTCGTCCATATCCACCGCCTCGGGAGCCGATGTCCTGGGGCCCTAGGGGGCAGTGGATCTGGATGTAGCTGGGCCCGCTGGGGCGCAAATGTATCCATACCCGCCGCCTCGCGAGGTCCATGGAGACCGGTTTCCCTGGCGGTGGATATGGATCAATTCCAGCCTCGGGGGAAAGGGGATCGAGGAATGACAAGACAAGATTTAGAGGAGGTGTGTGGGGGGAGGAGTAGCTGGAGCAGAAGCAAACCGTATGATGAGCAGCTGGAGGTGCATCTGCCGGAGGAGCAGCAGGAGGGAGGAGGACTGAGGAGGGGAAAGGATCATCATCAGCATGAAGAGGGGGATCATCTCTCTCTAGAGGGGGGAGAGCAGGAGAGAGGAGGGAGGATGAACCCACGACTGTAATTTGTCCGTCCAGTCGGCTAGACAGCGGCCTCAGGGGCGACATCAGCGGTCGCCGACGGCATCATTGAACCAACGATTACGACAACACGGAGGGAAGGATGCAGGGCATGAGCAGGATAATGACGATCATGATGGATGGTCATTGCGATAATGATGGTGAGGAGGATGAGGACGACGGGGATGGCGAGGAGCAGAGAAGAGAGAGAGAGAGAGAAGGGCAATGAGGAAGATGAAGAGAATGATGAGGAGGGGAGGGCGAGGACGACGATGAGTGATGGATGACTCAGAGGTGCGGGGAGGCATGAGCTGGAGGAAGAGAGAGGCGGAGGACGACGAGGATGGAGGATGAGGGGGGGGGCGCGAGGAATAGGCAGGATACGGCAGCAGCTGCTGGCGCGCCAAGCAACGATCTAACGGCGAAAGGGGGGGGGGGCGAAAGCAACATGCTGGTGAAAGCAGATGCGCATACAGGCGAGGGAGGACTTCTCGTGTCCTAAACAGCCTGTCTACAAGGGCTCAACATCTATACTTACTATCAATGCACACAGGCACATTTCTCTTCCTATATGTTTGCAAGCCTCGGCGGGGGACCCTTCCCTCCCCCGCCCCCCCCCCCCCCCCCCCCCCCCACACACACACACACAAAACGGGACCCCAAAAATCCGTGGCCCCGGAGGCCCCCTGGACGCCCCCACAGAATGTCCTCCCGGCTTCCGCAGCTCCTGGAAGCCCCTGTTTGGCCTAGGCAACGGGACAAATTCCGTCAGGAGGCGGCCGAACGGCCCTCCGAGGGTCCCAAGAGGCTCCAGACACCCACCAGGCTCCCGAAGACGACTCAAGGAAGACCCGCAAGAGGCCCTTGAAACGCACAACAACATACTTTTCCACTGCGTTTGTATGATTTGGGGAATGCTCTGTCCTTCCGTCTTCTGGATGTCCATCGCCATGACCGCCCGAGAGGCCGGAAAATCGTCCCAAAACTATCCGAAAGGGCTTCCAGACAGTCCAAGAGAGCCCCCAGACGGCGCAACAGGGCCCCACGACGGCCCGAAGAGAACTCCATGACGGCCCCAGATGGCCGCAAGACGCCGCCGAGCTATTCCAAATCGTGACCCGGTCGTTCAGGGAGACCGCGGCTGGAAGCAGGAGGCCCGAGGAAGCCTCCACAGAGGCCTCCAGAAGGCGCCCAGGAGTCTTCCAGAAGGCCCCAGTATACCCTGAGCAACTTTTTGATAAGGCCCCCAAGAGGCTCTCAGAGGAGACACCACCGCAACAAAGAGCTGAGGAGGATGGGTAATACTTCGAAGGGTAGGGCGAGAGGAAACATGAGGGACACATCAACAAACACATTACTACAATGACGACACCGGAGACGGCACTAAGGAGTTATCGCTACAATAGATGGTGTACCTTGCTGCCTCTCTTTCTGCATGCCAAACTTCAAGGACCAAGGTGGTCCATGAAGTTGGGTATGCTTGCGGGAGCGCAGGAAGGTACAACATACAAATTACCAACAACTCCTTGTTTCTTTTTTGTCCGACATCGACGTTCCAAGTATGTAATTACTTATCAGGTGCCCTCTTCTTTTTCTTCGATGTATTCCTCACTCTCGCCGTACACTGCGAATTATTCCCAATCCTCACTCATGAACTATTTCTGCGGAGGCTCTTCCTCTGGGAGCCTCTTGGCTCTTGGTGGCCTCACGAGAATGTGCAAAGGCTGCCTGGGGCCTTCTGGACGCCTTCTGGGCGCCTGTCCCGGAGCCCGGTGAAGGCCCCCGGATGCCGAGAAAGGAGATCAACCGCCCGACGTGATTTTGTCAGAACTCGAGAGTGTCTTGGATGCTCATTCTGGGGGCCTTCCTGGAGACACTCGCTCCACTCGTGCGTCGAAGCTGCGTCGAACGTTCGTCGATCTGAGCCGACCTTGAGTCGAACCCGAGTCGAACCTGAGTCGAACTGGAGCCGTGAGGTGTGCCCCAGGAAGGCCCCCCAGACGAGCATCGAATCGAGAGGGTCTGCGTGACGCACAGAGACATACTAATACTAGTATGTCCGCCTTGGAGGCGCGCGTCCGACCCGAACATATAGTATACCCATCTTGTAGTACATCGTCTCTCGAGCGGTGTGGCCAGAAGGCGCCCGCCACGACGCACATACCACAAGATTTCTCGGTGCGCGCGTCGCTCCTGTGGGTGGGGGGGGGGCGACGAGAACATAGCATAAGCATGTGTCGGGGGGACGCCGACCGAGCCTGGGCCCGCCGAGGAGGCCGAGCAGGCGAACCGCAACAAACAAAAGCCTGCCGCCGTGCTGTTGTCCGGCGGCGCGATGGGGCCGGGCTGCGGCCCTTGCCCCTATCGAGAGCCCCTCGCTCGTGGCCTCGGGCCCTCGATCGTGCAGGAGCCTTGGGAGGCTGCCCGCGCCCCCCAAAAGGGAGAGAGGACCTGAAGCAATCCCCCTCCCTCCTCCTCCTCCTCCTCCTCCTCCTCCTCCTCCTCCTCCTCCTCCTCCTCCCCTCCTCCTCCTCGCCCTCCTCCTCCTCCTCCTCCTCCTCCTCCTCCTCCTCCCTCGTCCTTCTCCTCCTTCTCCTTCTCCTCCTCCTCCTCCTTGTCCTCCCTCTCCTCCTCCTCCTGCTCCTGCTCCTCCTCCTCCTCCTCCTTATCCATAACTTCTCCCTGTCGCACCCCGTGGCCAGTTTTTAGGGCGGGCCTGGCGTTTCGCCTTAGACTTCCTTACCATTTATGACTCTGAAGCTTAAACATTGGCAACAGTTTCACAGATGGAGGGCGGGTGGTTTTCAATATGTGGCTCTCTCATCAGCGCGGTGCATATCCATTTTGAAATTTGCAAGAGTTTCACGGATTGAGGGCGGGTGGTTTAAAACATGTGGCTCTCGCCTGAGCGTGGCGCACACTCGTCTCAAACACTTGCAAGAGTTTCATGGATAGAGGGCGAATCGTTTTCAAAATGTGGCTCTCGCCTTAGCGCGGCGCACATTCGTTTTAAACATTGGCAAGAGCTTCACGGACTCAGGGCGGTTCCTTTTCAAAATGCGGCTCTCGCCTTAGCGCCGCGCACATTCCTTTGTAACATTTGCAAGAGTTTCACGGATTCCCATCGTCAGCGTACCAGACATTGTGTTTTGGAAGAATTCAGGATTATGCGGGCGCCACAGTTACGTTGATTCTCTGTGTTGGAATCCTAGGAATGGCGTTCTGGTACGATTCAGGATCGTCAAGACGCAACATTCAGGTTGATCCGTGGCGTTGGAATCCCGAGAACACTGTTTTGGCATGCCTCAGGGTCTTCAAACGGGCATCTTCCAACGAAGCATTTCCATCAATGGACATGAACCGCTGTAGGGGCCCATGAAGAGGGGTCTTGGAGGGAAGGTTTACTCCAACATCGTTGATGACTCTTGGGTTTACACTCCTCCTCCTCCTCCTCCTCCTCCTCCTCCTCTGCCTCCGCCTCCTCCGCCTTCTCCTCCTGCTCCTCCACCTTCTCCTCCTCCTCCTCCTCCTCCTCCTCCTCCGCCTCCTCCTCCTCCTCCTCCTCCTCCTCCTCCTCCTCCTCCTCCTCCTCCCCCTCCTCCTGAAGAGGTCCTCCCAGGAGCGCGGCAGGAAGGCCGGCCTCTGCAGCTCCACCGCCAGCGCGCCCGGTGTGGCCTGGCCCTCGGCGGGCGCTTCCGGGCCCGGGGGCACCGGCCACAGCGCCTCTGCCAGGGCAGGGGAGGGGGGGAGCACAGGGGGGTCGCGGCTCCCCCTCCTCGTCCTGCTGCTGATGCTGCTGCTGCTGGGGAGGAAGAGGAGGCGGTCGGGGATGGGGAGGGGCGAGAGGAGGCGGAAGAGCGAACGTCCCCTGAGGAGTCCTGGTCGCCTACGCCTCGCGCAAACGCTGGATGGCGAGAGCACGGATGCGTGCAGCGGCAGGCGCAGCGATGTAAACGTGAGGGGGGGTGCCGATCTCCCCCTTCATGGCATGATATATGTAGAAGGCAAGGGCAAGAGAACGCACTACAGATCCGAGCGAGTGCCGACCCATGTGCGCCGCCTCCCCGCCCAAGCCAAGTCGAACTAAAACCTCGTCACTCGATGGTCGCTGAGGGTCGGCAACAAGCTCCAGGAACTTATCACAGACGAGATAATGCTGGATGCAATCTATCCCGTCGGTGCATCCCATGATGCAGGCTTTCGAGCCCGGCACGACGTGCATCCGACTGCTTGTGGTCCAGGCGCCACACAGCGTTTTAAGGACACACCAGCGAATCGCCGGCTTGCATCGAACGAGATAGGATCGGAGAAAAAGCCAGCGGACATCGAGATCAGGAGGGAGAGGAAGGAGTGGAAACCACTTGCTCAAGCGCCTACGGATGGTGTCAGAGAAGCGGTCAGGATACAGAGAACGTGTGAGATGGACGTTGACAGCGCGCTGCACCTTCGGTTTGTGTCCCTCCCCCAACGCGAGAACCCTAGACACCTCAGCCCTCCCCGCTCTGATGGCAGCGCGCTGGATCTCTGGCGAAACCTTGCACGAGCTATAGAATGAGATGGGCTGGGACATGCACGCATTCGAAAACCTCTGAACGATCGATGTCTGCTCAGCCCACCACGGTGGAGACCACTGACCATTGCAGAAGAGAGGGATGGGGGCGGCATCCGTGGCGGCTTGCTGTAACCGCTCGAGCGAACTCCGCCACCCCGTCAGCGTGGTAGTGCAGGTGCGCCGTAAAGTGGCGAGGCAAAGGGCAACGATCGAGCCTGGGCCGCCGCCATGACACCAGAGCTTGAACGAGAGAATGTCTGCCCTCTTCAAAGAGTTGGGCGGGAGACGGTACAGCTTATGCAAGCCGTGAATTTCTCGCTTAAGCAAACGAGCGATGGGATGGAAAAGTTGCGCGACACAGCTCAGCGTGGGAAGGATGGCAGATGAGTAGAGAAGCGTGAGGGCGGAAAGGGGGAGCACGAGTGATGCTAGCGAGATGGATGCGCGACCACCACTTCTCCGAAGGGCCTTTCCACTGGAGATCGGCTGTTGCTCCTGGCCCGATCCAAACGCCGAGGTACTTCGCAACAGCAGAAACCTGAAACGAGCGCCAACTCGGACAAGCGGCCCCAAGGTCGTCCAAAGTCTGGCTGCGGACCTCTGGAGTGATGGGCGACCACAGGGGGGCCGCTACACATTTAGCCGGCTGGAGAGACAGTCCCGCGAGGCGCTCGGCGAAGCAACAAGTTTCAGCGATCAGCACAAGCTGAGTGATACAAAGCAAAATCAGTCCCACATCATCGGCACACGCTCGCACGACGCCGTGATCGATCGACGGAAAAGGTCTGTGAAGATGGCGCAACAGAGGGTCCATCGCTAAGGCCCAGAGGCTGCCTGAGAGTGGACACCCCTGGAGGACGCCGCTAGCAAGCTCACACATCGGCGTGAGGGGCATGTCGCCGAACCTCGCGAACGCTATCGGGGCCGTATACAAGGCGCCGATGGCCCAACACACTCCGAGCGGAACGCCATAGTGCACGAGCACCAGCTCGAGCCATCGTCTGGAGAGACTGGGAAACGCTGCCTTGAAATCGAAGGAAAGCAAAAGTGGCCGCTTGCGGGAGCCATCCGCTAGCTAGCCAGCTCTCCTAGCCTCCGCGTCCAGCAAGGGTATGTTGCCCACAAAGTTCCGACCAGTGATATACCCTTGCTGGCTCGTGTGGACTCTCTCTGAGACCAAGGGCTTCAATGTGAAGTTGATGGCTGAACCTATGGCCTTCACATCGCTGTTCGTAAGACTGAGGGGCCCGAGATCCTGGCACCTGCGAGTTAAACAAACTGCGTCAGACTGCTCTTCTCCCTTCGGGAGAAACGCAAACAGCGAGTGTTTGGCCTCAAACGGGAGAAAACCTCCTGAGTAAATATGCTCAAGGACGCGATGCAAGATGGCGGCGGCTAGCGGGTGCGAGAGCCTGGCAGAGTAAGGAAGACGGTCAGGACGAGGAGCGCTAGGCTTCGCTATTTTGAGAGCGTGGACAAGCGCTGCTTCACTGGGCATGGGGGCGTCGCAGGTGGGAGCAGGAGGGAGGACAGAGGAGTGAAACTCGCGGATGGCAGGGTCAGAAGACGGACGAGCAGAAAAGACAGGAAGCCAGTGGGATTGTACGGCTTTGAAGATGTCCTTATCGCTAGTGTACACGGTCTCTGTCGGCCCCCGGGAGCCGGCATCGGCGTGAACATGCACCCGAACCCCCTCGAGACGAAGTTGCCTGGACCAGGGGGTCCACAGACGCGCGCGCCGTGCTGCTTTGCGCTCGATCTTGCGCTGCAGCATTTCATCTTTATGGCGTCCGAATTCGTCGAATTGAGAGACTCGCATGCTAGCCTGCAGAGCCCGAAACTGGTGCCACTCATCATTCGCAACGTCACACTGCGCATGAAACGAAGGAGGATCACGGAGAGAAACGACACTGCCGACGACGACGAGGTGAGAGGAGGCGAGGGGAGAGGAAGCAATGAGACGTGCCGCAGTGTGCGCGTCGTTGCGCCAGAGTGCACGAGCCATGGACCTGAACAGGTACATTCGCGTGATGGGTGCATCAGGGTGCGCCGAGTGGAGGTACTCGGGGCCTTGCAGCCGGTCCCTGGTGAGAGCGGCAGCTTCATACATGACAGCTTTAATTCCCTGCCAGGCGGTGACCGCAGACAACTGGTCAAAGTCGGTATGAGCAAGCATGGAAGCGAAATGCTGGCGAAACTCATCCGTTTTGAACAGATACGGTGGGATCGCTCGCTCTTGCTGCGCACGCGGAGCAGAGGGACGGATCTTGAGCAGCAGCATGGCGTGATCCGATAAGCCTCTGTCCGACAAGCGCGTGTTCTCGCGTGCAATCTGGAGCGTGACATCTAGAAAAACGAGCTGCGGGGCGGAGCCTGAGAGGAAAAAACGGTCAATGCACGAGACCTGGAGGCGATGGGAGTCGAAACGAGTAAGAAGATCGTTTGTGAGCTCAGTCATGGTACTAAACATGCGCTTCCAGCGAGCCTGCATGTGCTGGCCGCGGTTGTCTATGACTGGCAGGGTAGTGGGAGGAGCGGGACGAGAAGGAGACAGAACGGGGGAACGAAAGGAGCGAGGAGGGGATTCTGAGATGTTAAAATCACCGAGGGCTAAAAACTTGAAAGTGCGTTCGTGCTGCTGTGCGCGCGCTGTCTGCTGAGCCCAAAAGCTCTCGATATCGCTAACCTCCAGAGCGGACAAATCGTGATTATGCACGTTGAGCACGCACATGCTATGATCGTGTGCAGGAGAAGAGATAAAGAGGGCGGCGGCACGGCCAGTGACAATCGGGTGCAAAACGCACACCGGCTTAAGGGCGTCAGGAACAGGCTGAAGTTCAGAATGACCAGGTACAAGGAAACCGACTCCGCCAGCAGAAGCATCGGAGACAGACAAATAGCACGTGTAAGAGTACGGCGTGCCGTCGATGAGGCGCTGCAGGCGGCGCTCGTCACCGCGTACCTCTTGGAGGACGATGAGAAAGCGTTGCCGCATGTATTCAGAAAGAAGTTTTATTTTAGACTCACGTTTGCGAGTGTTGAGGCAGAGCAAGCTCCGCGCGTTCCAGCAGATGACGCGAAGCCCCTGCCCAGCATCTCGTTGGTAAGGTTCCCACGGCGCCCAACTCCTGTTACCCAGACCACTGGACGTCAGCCGTCGAGAAGGCGGTACGGAAAGCAGCCTCGACTGTATCGCGATCGAGGTTGAGCTCGGCGATTGCGTTCTCGTTCCACTGGATGCGGGTAGGCTCGTCCTGGCCACGAGGCTCAAGCTTGCAGCAGGGGACGCTGTTGCCAAGGATCTGGAATTTGGCGCGCCAGCAGCGCCAGGTCGTGAGAGGAGGCGGAAGAGGAGGAGGAGGAGGAGGAGCAGGAGGAAGAGGAGGAGGACGAGAAGGGAGAGACGGGAAGGATGTGGAGGAAAAAAAGGAGGCAGAAGAAGAGGAAACGAATAAGACGACCAAATACTTCTCTGCTTGTGCTTCCTGTGGCTTTCTACCGGTCTTGGCTGTCAAATTCTACTACATCTGGCCCCGTCAAAACGTCTGTCATGACGTCCATCTTGCCCATTTTCCATGCGAGCTCGCATTTGCAAGCTTACGCGCCCAAATTCCAGATCTTGCATCATGTGCGATGCGCCTTTGAAACTTGCGGCCAACAGTGTGACGTCGTCCGCAGACCACAAGTTGGAGAACGGACTTCCGCGGATCATCGGTCACCACGCAGGAGTCTTGTCCAACACGGCTCGCATTGAAATGCCCTCCGCGTCGCTTGAGAGCGCGACGCGCTGACACCATGATTGACATGAACATGAATGGGCTCGTTGGCGGGGAGGATGAGGGAGGAGGACGAGGAAGAGGAAGAAACCTCACGCCTCTCCAACTGGCAACCGCTGCTCTATTCTGGGGAGGGTGGGGGGACATTAGGGCCCTCTCTTTCTACTCCTCCTTTTCTTTTTCTTATTCGTCTTCTCCTTCCTCCTCCTCCTCCTCCTCCCACGCCCCTCCTCCACTTCCTCCTGCCCCAGTCCTTGACGTCCTCCAACTCCTCCTCCTTCTCTCCGTCCTCCGGCTCCTGCTCCTCTTCCCTCCGTCCTCCCCCTGCCCCTTCCGAACGTGCATACCAGGCAACAGAAACGGACCGTTCGCTGAACGGGGCCGTCTCCCGCCGATGTGAAGGCACATGACACGCCCCCTGGCCCATGGGGGCTCCCGAGAACCGACGGCAGCCACGCTTGGGCGGCGAAACCAGGGAACGCAATAGTTACCTCTGAGCAGTTTAGGCATGAACAGGCAAGAGATGGCACATCGCACGCACACACATGGTCACCTACCTGTAATCGTACGGACATGCTTCTCTCTTGAACGCAACCACGCGCGCATCCATACCTCACATACAGGCGCACGCCACAACAAAATGACAACGAACAACGAGCAAGAGAAAGACGAACCGCGAACTGCGAACCCCGAGAAATAGGACCGCAAGAGCGAACGCGCACAACAAGATACATACGAACCACGAGCAAAAGTGGACGCAGGCGGGGCGGTCTCGGGGATCGCCTGTGAGGAGCAGAGCCGCTGAGGGAACGCGCAGGGGCCGCAGTCCTGTCGCAGCAGGCAAGGCGGCCGCGTATGGACGAAGAGGAAGCGCGGGCGGACACGTCAACCGTGACGTAAACCAGCAGCCCGCTTTTAGCTCGCCTGACTTCGCGCTCCGCAAGATTCCTTTTTCTCCTGAAAACAATAGAGGCCTCCCAGATGGGGTCGGAGTAGATGGGGTCGGAGGATCGCGCTGCATCGCCAATGCATCGTCGATGCATGGGCGATGCATCGACGACGTCGGCGACGCATCACCGACGTCGGCGTGCAGAAGATCGGACTCCGCATCGCAGATGCATCGCCGATGCATCTGCGATGCGGCGCGATCCTCCGACCCCATCTACTCCGATTCCATCATGCAGACCCAAAAACAACATGTATGCCTGTTTGTTTTCCGAGCGACACGACATCTGATCATCTCAACGCTCTGGCACCAGCCACGCTGGAGAAGAGGAGCCCGCCAATGTTCGGGAAGACCCTGCTCTCGCAGAGGACGGTCGATGAGAGCCGTCCGTGAAGAACTCGGGTGCGTCGAAGAGGGGGGCCCTGAAGAGTGGGATAGCGCATCATGATCGGAGGCGTGTGCGCGGACGAGGGGCCTTGTTACCCACGCACCCCTAGTCGTCACCCCATTTTCAACGCTTGATGGCCTTCGGGTCATTGCGCTTTCCTCCAGCGACCGTTCGGAACGATCCGGTAGGATCTGGGCACCCCAAGAACGCTCTCGACATCGTGTTCCCCTCCTCCGAGAGGGGGGGTCCACGACCCCCCCCCTCCCCCAGGGGGGAACAAAAAGATACCGATACCGCCACGCACTCCTCGGACCTCCCCTGGGGCGCGGTCTGACTAGGGCTTCGGGGCGAATCCTCTCGTGCCGACGAGAGGAACGGCAGCGGTATCGGTGTCTTTTCCTCAGCCAGTCCTCCTATGCAAGCGACGACAGAAAACGCTCTCTCCTCCCTCCGCACCCCACCCATCATGAGGCACGGTCTTCGCCCAGCCCTTGCTATCCCCAGGCCTTCATGGGCCAATCGCCCCACCTGGATCAATCGACATCGAATCGGGAAATCGGCTCAACTCGAAATGTGCGTCGGATCGCGCTGCACCGGCACGGACTCGAAATCGAATCGGACCAGCCGCGCCAAGATACACGACAACGCCACGTTAGCACAAGGCAACATCGGATCGTCGAAATATCGGAATCGAATTAAGTTCTTGAATGTTTTTCGTGGTCGCCATCGTCGTCGTCGTCGTCGTCGTCGTCGTCGTCGTCGTCGTCGTCGTCGTCATCGTCGGTCTTCAGGGTCGGCAGCACTGGCCGAAGGCCCTCGCAATATCGGAAGCGAGCCGGATCGAATCGGCCTAAACCGAAGTCGAGCCAGTTTGGGCGGATCGAAATGTCGGCTGCACGTAAGTGTGACCAGAGGCAAGAATGAACTTTGGTGCGCGGCTTTTGGGCGGCGCGAGGGGGCCAAACTCAAGCGCGCCAGCCGCTGCTATCGCATCGCATTCGGCGATCGGGAGGGCGCAACTGGACCCGCACCAACGGTCACTCCGGCGAAGGGTCACTCTTACGTGGAGTCGAAAATGGTCCCTGCCTGCCGACCAACCACTTCGTCCAGGCAGCCAGCCAAATCGCCCTGCCGACCATGATAAGCAATAGTTCCCCCCATCCTGTGGGAGGAGACCTAAGTTAGGAGGGCTAGAACATTGGGGATAGGGGGTCTTTTCTGCAGGTGCATCAGACCAAGCCCCCCATATGTCCTATCCGTTATGCGAAGACGGGGACCTCAGTGAGGCCACGTCTTCATCGTGTTATTAGGGTTAGGGGTTCTCTTGTGCTCGATGAGCAGAAGAGGAGGAAGAAGAGGAGGAGGAGTAGGGGGAGGGTTCACTTTGTTCTCGATGAGACCATCCCCGCCTTCCTGGGCTCCCCATCGGCCCATTGGCCCGACCCCTGTACAGCAGGCTCGGGCCGCGACGCCTGGCGCGCGTTGGCTTCTCGCGCCGCGTCGACCGCTCAGAACCTTGAGCGGTCGCGGCTCTCTCCGAGAGAGCAGATCTCGCTCGCTATCATCCGTCGACCCATGGAGTGAGGACGCACGATGAGGATACAAGGGCCCTGGAAGGCCCCGTCGGCACTCTGCGAGCGGGGCGCGGCTTTGCGAGGGCGGCCGCCCCAGACCCCCCTCGAGGCATGCAGAAATCACGACGGGCGGTCTCGCGCTGTCCTCGGCCTCTGGGGGGGCGGGCCTCGGGACCGCCAAAAACCGACTGGGGATGAAACACCGGTCCTGGGGAATGGGTCGAGACATCTTTCGGAGTCGACGTCGTGAACAAAATCATGACGTCGGGGGTCTGGGAAGGATGGGCGGAAGGGGGAGGGTGCAAGGGCAGCCTTGGAGCGTTGCTCCTCCTCCTTGCTGTGCGGGTTGACTGCGCTGCCCGCAACTGGTCCGGCGTCCTGCCTGCCCGCACCGTGCCGCAAGGCCCCTGCACCACCAGCGCGCCTCCTCACTTGCCCGGCCGGGCCCTTTTCCCTTGCCTCAGTGAGCATTGTTGAACCGATGCCCATCCCCACCCGGCGTGGGCTGGGCCCCACTGGCCGGTTTCCCCCCTGATAGGGGAGATGGGCTGCTCTTTTCGGGACTCGAGGGGCATGTCCCCAGCTGAGGTGGTGAGACAATGGGGCTCGAGATGTGGAATGAGGATGGGGATAGGGATCGGCTGAGCGATACTTAGGTTGCTCCCATCGTGCTTACGGTCCACATCCCAGAAGTGATCTCGAGCACCCAAAAAAAAAATCGAAACGGTGTCGAGCGAGAATCGCCTCCCAGGGCCCGGCACGTGAGAGCGCTCCCGTTTCGGTTCTTTCTTGGTGCTCGATATACTTTCTGGCGGTCAATAGAAGTCCCCCCCCCTAACAACAACCCCGACACGCGAAGTCGCTTAGTAAACGCACCCGAAGAAAGAATCGAACATGGCAGGGCTGTTCAATAAGCTCAGATAGGCTCAGATAGGCTCGGAACATCGTAACCCTTGCCCCCCCGCTCGGGTGCTGCCCGAGACTCTCCTGGCGAAGCTGGCTCCCAGCTTCCCGGGGCACCCTGCTTCCCAGCTCCCGCGACGCGCGGCGCGCGACTGCCTTCGCGCCCTCGCGACCCGCCGCCCTGGCGGGGGCGCCTCCCCAGACCCCCGACGTCATGATTTTCTGTTCACGACGTCGACCCCACAAATTCTCGACCCATTCCCCAGGGCCGGTTCTTCATCCCCGGTCGGTTTTCGGCGGTCCCGAGGCCCGGCAGGGGCCCCCAGAGGCCGAGGACAGCCCGAAACCGCCCGTCGTGATTTCTGCATGCCTCGAGGGGGGGTCTGGGTCGCGACCCACCGCCCTGGCGAGGGGCGCCTCTCCGGCCCAGTGCGCAGACCGCGGCTTTCGTGCCTCCGAGAGGGTGGGGCCTGGTCAGCCTGGGGCCCGCTCCTGGGCCCTCTGCGCGCCCCCTCCCGGGCCTCTTCTCTGGGGGGGGGGGGGGGCGACCTGGGGCTCGCTCGGTGGGGCATCGAACTCTTTGGCCGCCCGAAGTGGGTACGGAAAAAATGGGTACAGTGCCCAACAAGTGTTGCCCCAAACCAACAGCGGCCGCTGTTGGGCAGGCGGCCTTCTGTCTCGAACGGACACAGGCCGCGGCGGCGTGGACAGCGAACCCTGTTCAAAATGAACATGAACTGCTGTTGGGCATTGTACCCATGCTTTCCGTACCCAGTTCGGGCGTTCAGAAACTCTATGCGCCGACGCTTTTTCCGGCCCTGCGTGGAAATTTGCACTGGAGAGCGGATCCTGGTGTATACGGGACCCTGGTGTATACATTTTTCGATGTTTCCCCGGGACGTCGGGGAAACAAGTATACACCACACCACCCCAGCGTCGTCCCCGATCCTCCAAAAATCCTGGGATTGAAAAACAGCCCGCCACTTGTAATGTACATGTTCCAATTTCCGACTTGGGGCCTCCTTAACCATCCCACAAGGGCTTCAGTAGGCCGGAAAGAAAAAACAAAATGAACACACGCCGGTCGGAAGAAGTGGGTAAAAACATGAAGCAGGAAGGCGGATAGACCAGATTGTGCTCAGGCCCTCTCAGGGAGTAACGAAACGCAGCAGAAGCACGCCGATCCTTGAAGTAGGGAGGCGCTGGAAGTAGATTGGGATCTGGGAGCCCAGGAATATCTTCTTTCAACGACCGGCGTGTAAACATACAAAATTCTGAGGCCCCCCCTAGTTCTTGGACCGGCGCTGGATCCCCCCTCCCTGGCGAGTGGCGCGTCGCCCGCGGCGGCACCAGAGGCGCCGCCAAGGGGGCCCATCACAGATCAGAGAACTCCGCGCGGACCTCCAAGCGCTTATGTTTCATAGAGCTGTTTCTTTGGAGGCCTCCAAGATGGGGTCGGAGAAGACGGGGTCGGAGGATCGCGCCGCATCGGCGATGCATCGGCGATGCACCGGCGATGCATCGGCGACGTCGAAGATGCATCCGCGACGTCGGCGTGGAGGAAATTTGGCCCCACATCGAGCCGCGTTGCCGATGCATCGCCGATGCATCGGCGATGCGGCGCGATCCTCCGACCCCATCAACTCCGACCCCATCTGGGAGGCCTAGATTTAGGTCGGGTATGTCCCCCTACAGGCGGATTTTGGTCAAAAACTAAAAATACCCTACAAATGCCCCCAAATAGTCAAAACATTCTCAAAACCTCGTCCCCAGACTACTTTTTTCAGAGTTTTTGAATATCCCCTCTGTAGACGGGCAGGCCCGACCTAAGCCTAGATTCTTCTCCGATGGGCCACGACCGCGTCTGTGAACGCTTCAGCTTGGGGGCTCCGCCGCAGAGACCCCCCGGGCGGCCACCCCCGGGCTGCGCGCAGGCTGGGCCTGGCCCCGCTCGCCGATCTCGGGCGCGTGGCATGGGGGGGGGGACCTGAGCGGGCGGTGAGAAAGAAGGTCTTCAAATAGCCCACTAGGGTTAGGTCGGGCATGTCCCCCTACAGGCGGATTTCGGACGAAAAATCAAACAGATGCCAAAATATACGAATAGTCAAAACATGACAGAGAAATCGTCCCCATACAATTTTTTGACTATTTTTGCATATTCCTCCTGTAGAGGGACATGCCCGTCTTAACTTCAGGGCACGTGTTGGTTCCAAACGAAGCCCTTTAAAGGGTCCTTTCAGGGCCCCTTCTCCACCCCACATGTAAGCCACCTCCCATTGCCACCCGCCCGACGAGCATCGCCCGCGCGGCGCGTGCCGGCATCGGGCTCCTCTGCTCTCTCGACGATCGCGATGCACGGGGCGGTGGTGTTGGGCGACTGCAGGTCGCCCCGCCACTCGGCCGGGATCCTGGCAGGCCCGCGCGGTCAACTCCAGCAGCCTTGGACCTCAACCTCCACCTCCAGCAGCCTCTCGGTCCTCCTGGCAGTCTCCTTCATCATCCAGACAACCTCCTCCTCAAATTAAAACCACCTTACACCTCCAACTCCACCTCCAGCACCTCCACCTCCGCGCTCAAATCCTGGCAAACCTCCACCTCTGGCAGCATTGTAGGTGCCTTTTCCGTGGTCGCCCTGCGGAGCCCAACACATCACGAACTCTCGCGGGTCACGGCACCTTCTGCCGAGCTTCCGGATCCACCAGTCCTTTCACTTCCGACTCCAGCTCGGTAGCTAAGTATAGCTGCCTTGCCTTCTTTCGGGCACAACGCCATGAGTTATTCTGAAGCATCGCCAGGACAGGCATTAGTTCAACCCTCGCTTGGCTCCAGACAACTCTTTGATTTTTGGAGAGCTCGGAAAGGTTGTTTCTTTTAGCGGCGATGTGGGCCCCGAGGCGTCGGATAGCAACAGCCAGGCAGCTCGGGGAGCAGAGAACGATCATCTTCTGCTCCTCTCTGCCTCTCTCTGTCCATCTGCACTTCTGACCGCCGTGGTCTCAAATACCTAATTTTCCATAATGTATTCCCCTTCCTATATTTTTACAAGCCGGGGGGGGGGGGGGGGGGGGGGAAAACCCTCACCCTCCCCCCAAAAAACTGGACTCCCGGGATCTGGGGTTCTCGGGCTCCCTTGGACGTCCTTGGAAAAGGTCACCCGGCTTTCCGGGTCTCCACAAACGCTTTGCCAGTAGACCCAGAGCGATCCGAGGGGTCATCAGAAAGGCTCAAGGGAGGCCCCAGCCAGCACAAGAGCGCTCCAAGAGGGACTCCAATTGCGTCAGGACGGCCCAAAAGACCCCCAAGGCACCCCAAAAAGCTTTCAAGGGGCCTTCAAAGAACAAAAATCGTCCCATTCCCTTCGTAAAACTTACAATTTTTGCAGATTCGCCTTTCGGATTTCATCAGCTTTCAAGACGGTTTCAAAGCCCCCGAGATCGCCTCCAGACGCCGCAAAAGGCCTTCAAGAAAGCTTCAAGACGGCCGAGCCGGGCCCCACGATCGCCCACGAGAGCCTCAAGACAGCCCATAATGGAACCAAAAGGCCCCCCAAGGGCTCCCAGCACAGACCCAAAAGGGCCATGCGAGGTCCCCGGAAGTGCCCAAGATGGGTCCAAAGGGGGCCCAAGCTCCCCAAGACGGCCCAAGAAGGCCCCAGGACGGCCCATGAAGGCGCCAAAACGGCCCACGAGGGCCCCGAAAACACCCCCACGATGTTTCCGAATGCCAACATAAAGACCCCCAAGGCACCCCAAAAAGCTTTCCAAGGAGCCTTCAAAGCACAAAAATCGTCCCATTCCCTTTCGTAAAACTTACAATTTTTGCATATTCGCCTTTCGGATTTCATCAGCTTTCAAGACGGTTTCAAAGCCCCCGAGATCGCCTCCAGACGCCCAAAAGGCCCTTCAAGAAAGCTTCAAGACGGCCGAGCCGGGCCCCACGATCGCCCACGAGAGCCCCAAGACAGCCCATAATGGAACCAAGAGGCTCCCCAAGGGCTCCCAGCACAGACCCAAAAGGGCCATGGGAGGTCCCCGGAAGTGCCCAAGATGGTCCAAAGGGGGCTCCAGCGGGCCCAAGCTCCCCAAGACGGCCCAAGAAGGCCCCAGGACGGCCCATGAAGGCGCCAAAACGGCCCACGAGGGCCCCGAAAACACCCCCAGGATGTTTCCGAATGCCAACATAAAGACCCCCAAGGCACCCCAAAAAGCTTTCCAAGGGGCCTTCAAAGCACAAAAATCGTCCCATTCCCTTTCGTAAAACTTACAATTTTAGCACATTCGCCTTTCGGATTTCATCAGCTTTCAAGACGGTTTCAAAGCCCCCGAGATCGCCTCAAGACCCCCCAAAAGGCCCATTGGAAACCTTCAAGACGGCCGAGCCGGGCCCCACGATCGCCCACGAGAGCCCCAAGACAGCCCATAATGGAACCAAGAGGCCCCCGGAAGTGCCCAAGATGGGTCCAAAGGGGGCCCCAGCGGACCCAAGCTCCCCAAGACGGCCCAAGAAGGCCCCAGGACGGCCCATGAAGGCGCCAAAACGGCCATCGAGGGCCCCGAAAACACCCCCACGATGTTTCCGAATGCCAACATTCATTGATTTTGCTCCCATGACATTTCACATTGTGACCCAGTCGTTGAGGGTCTCGTGGCATGCAGCGAAGATGCCCGAGGATGCCCCGTACGAGTTGCATATGCATGTCCATACCCTTACACACATACATTTATATGTACACATGTACGCTGTATACACAAATTCAATAATGTAAGTAGATTATATACACCTAGACATGTATACGGAGCGTGCATGCACGTGCGCGTGTATATACGTATGCGCGTTCGCATTCCGTCTTCGTGCAGAACTCAAAGGACCAAGGTGCATGGCGCGCAGCGCCAATGCAATCTTGTATATATAAATATATATATGTATATATGTCTCTCTCTCTCTCTCTGTCTCTCTCTTTCTATTCCGTCTCTCTCTCTCTCTGTGCCTTCTTGTTGATACTCTGTTTGCTCAATTTTCTGTCCTCTCAACTCGCTAGGCTCTCTGTTCTCTAACCACTACTACTCTCTATAATATCTGCACGCGTCTACTCTAAACTCTCTGCGTTGTACTTCCTACTCTCTACTATCGCCGTACGCTCTCAATATGACAACAATCGCAACAACCCAAACACCTGTGCGGCGACCAAAAGCTAGAAACTCCGGGAATCTCACAATGCCAAGAACCCTCGAACTGGGAACGCGGGAACCCGCCGCCCACCGAACTCGGCCCGGACACAAGACCATGAACCCGGGAGCCCAGCAGTCCGCCGAACTCGCCGGGAAACTGTCGCCAAATCCTTCAATCTCCGCTAGGACCCTTTCAATGCAATCACTGATTGCGGAAGCTTTTGACACTACATGATGTTCGATCAATTTCAACCTTCTCGCCATTCTGGCTTTCGATGAACCTCCAATGCCCTAAACTGGCCCCGAGATGGCCCAGGACATCAAGGAAAAGTGGCCTGAAGGGCGCCAGCAAGGCCCCCAACCTTCAAGGAGTACCACGCATCGGAAATCCTGCTCTGAAAATACCTATATGGCAACCACTCTTGTGTGAAACGGGTCCGTCTGCTCTATCATGGCTCAGTGGGCCCTCGCGGGCCCTCTGGGCAAGCTTCGACCGCCCGCGAGCTGGATCTTCCAGCTGACGGGAGAGGAAGCGGGGAGCCCATGCTTACTTGACCATCTGGAAATAACATCGAAATCCAGCTGCGAATGATGCTTCCCTTTGAGACACATGCTTCTCTTCAAGGGCCGACCTCAACGATGTTTGGAACGAAGTGGTGCTTACAACGGATAACGAAGTAAGGCCAAACATGAAACAAACAAACAACGAAACGAAGCCGTGGCCAAACGAAAACGAACGACGAAACATATCGTTTCAAACAACAGCGACAACGAAACGAAACAACAACGACAAACAAGACGAAACACACCACAAAGGCCGAAAGAAAGCTAAACAACGTTGTGGTCGGCCCTTGCTTATGCTGTAAAAAACATTCAAGGCGTTCTGGCGCCTCGGTGGCCTACTCCGCGGCGGAGACTACAACGCTGGCCCTCCGAAGAGTAGCCTATTCTGCATTACCTGCTGAGGCCCGCTTGCACGAGTGGAGGGTGAAAGCTCTTTATGTCCATGTGTCTGTCTATCTGGCTGATTGACTGGCTCCTCCCTTTTCTGTATACATTCATGCATACACCCATACTTCTTATACAGCCATCGCACTACAACAAAAAAGGCACACCAAGGAACGGAGACTCTGTTTTAGTAACCGCGGGCCCCGGCCAGGTTCACCTGACCTCGCCAGGAGATGCGACCCCCTGAAGCCCGAACCCCTCGTGAGCCCAGAATGAATTACCCTCATGCCAGCGCCATTGACTCTTTCTCTCTGCCTGTCTCTCTCTCTCTCTCTCTCTCCCTCACTCTCATCATCCCTCTCTCTCGCCCTCATTTTGTGTTATATATACATGTGTATGTGTGTGTGTTTGTGTGCGTGTGTTTGCCAGTGAGCAGTCTGTGTTGTGTGTGTGTGTGTTTGATTGTGCAGTCTATGTTGTGTGTGTTTGTGTGTGTGTGTGTGTTTGTGTGCGTGTGTGTGTGTTTGTGTGTGCAGTCTATGTTGTGCAATTAATTTCTGTTCGCAGTGAGTTGTCCACTCCACTGCTCGCGCAAACGTCCCACCCACCCACCCGCAACTTGGTTTGCAAAACCTCTTAAGACCGTGACGGTGGGTACCACATGGCATTTGGCAACAACAGCGACGCCGACGACGACAGCGACAACGACGATGACGACGCCGCCGACAACGACTACGACGACACCGACGACGTCTCCAACGACTTCGACGACGCCGACAACGACGACGACGACGACGACACCGACGACGACGACGACGACACCGACGCCGACGACGACGACGACGACAACGACGACGACGATGGCGACGCCGGCGACGACGATACGAAAGAGGAAGGACGACGACGAGACGCCGACGACGGACGACGACGACGACGAGGGAGGAGGAGGAAGGACGACCACGGCGACAACGACGACGGAAACGACCACGACGCCAAAGAGGACGACGACGACGAACACGAGGAAAGACAGAGGACGACGTAGACGACGACGACGACGACGACAACGACGCGGGAGGAGGGAGGACGGCGACGACGACGACGACGACGACGACGCATGAGCGCGCGCGCACGCTTTTGTTGAAGATCCGTGTTGCGAAACCTTTGTGTTTTTGTAGGTTTGTTGGACAACCCGATTTTGAAATCCTTCCGAAACCGATGGGTTTTGAAGGTTTTCGGCATACGCGCGCGACGACGCGCGCGTCTGCACTTCGTCCCATTTTTTGCTGGGGATG